TTTTTTTTTTTCAATGGTGGCTGGCCAGTGTGGGGATCCGAACCCATGACCTTGGTTTCACCAACACCACACTGCCCGGTGAGCAACCAGCCAGCCCCGTCATGTCTCTTTCTCTTTACAGAGCTCCTATTTGTCACTTGCCTGTCTCACTGTTTCTCTCTTGTTTCTGTCTCTTGTCTTTTGTGTCCTACTTCCTATTGAGTTCACTGACTGTATCTTCCGCACGTTCTACTGAATGGTTTTATTTCGGTCATGACATTTGTAAGTTCCAAGCCCTCCTTCTTGCTCTTTGCTTGTCTCTTCCTCTCTGTTGCATCTTGTACTTGTCTGAGGAATGCAAGTGCTCGTCCCTCTGAGGATTTTACAGCGTTTTCTCCCTCCCCCCTGCTCTGATTTAGGTCTGCTTCCTCTGTGGTGTGGTTTGGTTTGGTTTGGTCTGGTGCTTGCCATTTCTGTGGGAGGTTTTCCTCAGATGTCTGCTCGTTCCTGTCTTCATGTTCAAGAGAGAACAAGTGAATATCTGAATGGGAGGTTCAGGGTGGATCGCTGGAGCTTCACTGAGAGCCGGGCTTTGCTCTAGGGTGATCGGATAAGGAACTAGCCATTTCATTGAGGAGCCCTCACATGTAGGTACCTAGAGGCTGTTTTCTGAGATTATTCAGTGTCTCCTCCTCTGCCCTTCCTGAGTGGTGTCTGACCCCCAGCATTCCAGGAGTCGGTGTGGGAGCAGGCTGCAGGCAGAACGGCGCTTATATCTGAGCAACAGGGCCCTGGCCCGGGCCCCATGCTTCATGGGAATCCATGCCTCAAAGTGCCTTCTTTGTAAATTTCCTCCACAAGTACCCACTAAGGACTGTCCAGAAAGAATCCCTCCCAGCGTCGGTAGGGGCAGGCAGTGCTGTCCAGGTAAGGTGCCCCAAGACCAGACCAGGTTCTACATGAGCCCTAGGCCCTGTTTCTTCCCTTCAGGGTGCTCTCTGACTCTGTCCTGTATGCAAGGGGTTGACCAGATGCCCCAAGGAACTCCAGGACTCATATTTATGGAATCACTTTGGGGCCCAGTGGCTGGGCCCTGGTTCCAGGAGGGTGGCCTAGCAAACAGATGACTCCTGCTGGCCAGCACAGTATTTTTATCACTGGATCACATGAGATTGGGTTGCCAGAATAGAGTTAATAGGCTGACATTATGTAGCTCAAATCGTTAATATAGACAAAGACTCCGTAAAAAAAAAAAAAAAAAAAAAAAAAGTGCTGGTCCTATATAGTCTAGGGGCAACTCTGGCTGCAGGGCCCACCCTTCTCAGTTCAGACCTTACCTAATGTCCTTCTTTCCTGCCTGCCCCCCTTGCCTGCTCTCTCCAGTGTTCCTGATACCCCAAGCCCCAAACCTTCCCCTTTCTACCTCCCATCCCCTTCTGGTCGGAGGGAGAGACGTAGGAGCCTGGAAGAAACAGGCGAAAGGGCAGGTCCAGCCTCTCCACAGACACCTGTAGCCAAACCCACGTTCAGTTCCTCACTCTGGTTTCTGGTGCCTCCGAGTCCTGAACCCTGTGGGGTTCTGGACCAGCCACTCCCTGCGCTCAGCCTCTTCCCGCAGGCGCCCCAGGAAACCCTGGCACACGCGCTCTGCCCTCCAACTTCCAGACGTTTCTGACATTTTCTCATCTTTTCTTATTTCCTCCCTCATTTTCCCTGTCCATGTGGTTTATGACTTTTTCACTTTTTTAGG